TATATATATATATATATATATATATATATATATATATATTAAAAAAATAAAAAATAAAAGGAAGAAAAAATCTCAAGCCAAGGAAATTAACCTTAAACATTAGAACAAGAATTTTGTTTTCTACCAAGTAGAACCTCATAACTATGTGTTGATATATTGAGCACAAAAGAAAGGTTTATTAATATCTTGTTTAAAAGGAGGTAGTGAGCAGATATATAAATTTAATGAGAGTTTGTTTATCCGGATAGATTTATGAAAGTTGAATGATGCTTTGTGGAATTTGCAAATTGTTTTTCTATTTTAACGTTTTGATTACTAGGGACAGTAATAAGTTGGTTGGGGAAAACATAAATAAAATAAAAGCTAACTAAGTAAAGGAAAGGAAATGAAAGGCATAAACAAGATATTAATGAAAATAAAACTTAAGCATTACAAAAATACAAAGAGAGAGAAAAAGCATGATATTGATCTGAAAACCAAGATACCTAAATACATGGCAAATGCCTCCTTTTATAGGCCAAAATTGAGAACTATTGATTTGATGACTAATTGATGAGTGGGTGGTCAACTCTTTTTTGCCCAAAATATCATTGATAATGTCAGAATTGGAACCACTTGAAAACATAAAAGTTGTAGGAAATTGTCTCAGCTTCCCTGGAGAAAAAATAGAGGTCATTTGAACTTCTAAAACTCCAGATATAAGCCAAATATTGAACAGTACTCGGGCTACAGAACAAATTAGGACTTCTTTGTTGTTACTACAATTTGGGCTTGAAAATGGTCTTTTTAAATCTTGGGCTCTATATGAAAGTTGTAGGCCTATGTCTTACCTTTCCATCCATATAAAGTATATCTAAATTCAAGATTTAAAGCTCCAGATATGGTTCAATTATCAAACAGTATTCCGGTTTGGATTGCACCGGCATCTCTTTTCTAAATTTGGTCATCTCTTTGTCCTTTCAATTTCAGTTCTTAAACTCATCAGTCAATCCTTTCATTTATGTGATAGGCTTGTATTTAAAATGAATATTTACTATAAATTAAAGGTATCTTACATTATTAGATATGTTAGTATAAAACATGCTTTAGATAAAGAGTTATTAATACTTCAAGTGCAAAATGATGATATAAAACCTTGATAAAAATGCACTTTTAAGTATTAATCACAAGTCCACTAAATCAATAGTTGGCCACTATATTAATAATCAATTACCAAATGAATATTTTTGAATTTTAGTTTATAAAAGAAGGTATTTATCATTTATTTAGGCATCTTGATTCTTAGATCAAGATCATATTCTTGTTTTCTTTGTATTTTTGCAGTGTTTAAGTTTTATTTTATATTATAGCAATTTCTTATTTATGTTTTTTCATTTTCTTTACTAAGTTAATTATGTTCTTATGTTGTTTATTTATGTTCTTCTTCTTCATAATGTCTAGCTAAGGTAATTATGTCAATATGAAAAAGTTTCACTAATTGTGTTAGAATATGTATAATATAAACTCAACATGGATTTCAATGTTCATATCTAAGAAAGTTTGATATTAACATGTCTTATCTTTTTATCTTATCAATCCTTTATATCTTACTTGTTAAATGGTTAATCTAGATTTGTGTTGTATAAAATGCTTAATCCTTCACAGTCTTCAGTCAACATCGTTGTTATAAGAGGAACTTAATTTGTTGCAACATAAATTAGCATCATAAATACCTAATAAAATTTATAAGTATGGTGTTACATAAATAAGATGATTAATATTATCATGTTGATAATTTATAAAGAGTTTATACTTTACTTATCTCTATATACTATTAGTAGATCCTTTGACCTTGAAAATTATTTTATCTTTGTTTTTATCCTTACATTAATATTACATCTCACAATTCTCTTTGACTCTTTATTATTATTATTATCATTATTATTATTATTAATTTAGATAATTAATCTCTTTGTGGTTCGACCACGGTCTTCCCGGGTTATTTATTACTTTGACGCTTTTATACTTAAGATAAGACATCAACTCTTTGATCATATCAGAGAGCATGTAATTTTTTATCATTTTAATATGTTTAGGTTATAGTTGTAAAACCTGATTTAGGATCAATTCGAGGCAAGATCTAAGTCCTAATCGAGAGGGTTGACCTAAAAAAATTAAAAACAAAACAATATTATTTTGAAAAAAAAATTCAACATGTTAAAGGTCGAGTTTTAACCGATTCATATCCATGTTGATCAAGTCAATGAATCAATTTGAGTTTTTAACTAGATCAACTAATTTTTTTTTCTTTTTTCTATTTTTTTCTCAAGCTAGAATGATATAAGCTCTGGGTCATCATAGTCTTGAGTAATCTATTGGGAGGTAAGACCTAGGTTCCAAACAAGAGGGTCGACCTAAACAAATTAAAAATAAAATAACATTATTTTAAAGAAAAAAAGTTAATAAATTAAGCATTGGGTTTTGACCGATTCATATTCAAGTTGATCAAGTCAATGGATAAATTCAAGTTTTTAACTGGATCAATTTTTTTTTTCTCAAACTAGATTGGTTTGGGCCCTGGATCATTCTGGTCTTGAATAATTTATTGGGTGAATTCAAGTTTATAGCTATGGTGAATGTCTTGACAACTAAATAGTAAAGATATTAAAATAATCTAATTAATTATAATATAATAATTCAACTATTCAAATCTAGTGGGTGTATTATTATAGTAGTTTTTATAATTGTGGTTTAAAAAAAATTAATTATAACTTTTTTAAAGATATATATAAAATTGTAAAGTATTGATTAATCAAATATTTTTAAAATTATAGTAGTAACTGTAGTTTCAACCTACTAGCAAAGGACTATAAAACAAAATTAATCAAAAATAATAGTGATGTGCATCATGGGAATGATAATTCATCTTGTAAAGATAAATCTAATATGCAAGAGGATTCAGATGGTCCAATGACAAGAGCGAGGGCGAAACAACTACAAAGGGCCTTGACGAGTCAAATTGGAATGATTGAAGTTGCGTCAGAGTTAAAAATTAGCAATCAATTTCAAATTGGTCCAGGGGTGCTTATTTGCCTATAATTGAAACTTAAATATGGGAAGAGCCCTTAATGGTTCTTTTGATGCTGGGCTACTTGAATTTAGGTTGATAATGCAAATAAGTTAAGGAATTGATGTTGTTTACGTCAAAACAGTAAATGAATTTGAACCCGAATTTGAAGTCATCCATTGCATGCGAAAACAAGACTGATCTAGGTGGATTTCAAGTTCAAAACGTGATCTTTCCAGATTGTCCAACCATGATTGCACTGGACTTTTGTTCAAGAAGTTATAACCATTTAAATTTGGTTTGTTTATGTTTCAATTAAAGTCAGAAAATATGTGCTAGTTTAATTTGTCCAATTACTTTGTTAAAGTTCAATTTTTGGGCTTGATTTCTATCATGTTGAATTTTCCTAACTATGGAGGGATGTTCCAATTATAAATATGACATCAGAATATGTAATAAACAACTTTTAGCCAAGATTTGAACTCAATTCAGAGAATTAAGAGTTGTTCTTCCAAATTGATTTGTGAAGAACCCTGCCTAACTTATCACTCTTCAATCACATAGAGTGTGGCGTCAAAATCCTAGATTGATCTTTGTGGCGTCCAGATCGACTTATCAAAGTATCACTCTAGTCTATCCTCCATTTTATTTATCTTAAAATCACTATAATCCAGCCTAAACACCAAAAGAAAAACAATACAACCAGACTCATCCTTCATCCATTTTCGTCAGATTTATTATTGTCAATTTTTGAATCATTCACGGCACATCAAATAGGGACAAATTGGACAATTAACATACAAAATCAAAACAATTAGTGAATTAACAATAGTAGCAAAAAGTTTTGACAGAATAGCATATTTTTGGATATTGCAATTTTAAATTGGGATATTAATTAAATGTCATGATTAGGAACCATGATAAGAATTTAATTGATGTTGCAGTTCACAACCACAACTTCAATTAAATCTTAGACTAATTAGTGAACTAATTTATAATGGTTAATAAAATTGGTCAATATATTTCAAAAATAATACGAAAAATCTCAAAACTGTCAAAATCAAAAGGTCCCAACAAGATTTTTGATATTTAAAAATTCGATGGTCCGTATAGCGATATAGTCACTATTATATAGAAAATAATTTCTAGAATTTGAGCATGATCCAATTATTAGATTAAAAGTTATGGTTTTATTGAGCTAAATATATTTGTTAAGCTATCCACCTAATTTATTTAGGGCAGATTCTCATTTAATTATAACAGATTCATTTAATTTAAAATCACTTATCATTGCAAGTCTTATATTTGACTGTTTAAAATCACTTATCATTGCAAGTCTTATTACATCATTGATATTAAAAAATAAAAGATAATTATTGTACAAACAATAATTTTTAAAATTTAATTGGAGTCAATTTTTCGGTCTATAAGTTGAAAAAATAAGTATATTTTTATTCATAAAACATATTTTAAAAAATTATAAAATTTTAATTTTTATATAAAATGACAACACCAGGACAGATGATTAAATTAATTAATAGACTAGTTGAACCGAATAATTTGAGTTTTATCTTGTAATATTTTTAAATTTTAATATTTATTAAATATTATTATTCTAAAATATAAAAATTATTTTATTATACTTAGAAAGTTTAGTTCATCGGATCTTTCTTAAATAGTTTTACCCTACTAAAACTCTTAAAAAACTGTTCTAATTTTTTTAAAAATAAAATATTCAAAAAAATAGTGGGGGACAGACATGCCAATTAGCGGAATCGAGGCACTTCTTAGCTATATTTTACAGTATATTTCTGAAATCCGGTCCTGTAGCTCTACTGTCTGTCGGACACGAAATTCGACCAATGCGTCCACGCCAACTAAAGGTTAGTTGCTCTCTCTCTGTTCACGATCTCAGATAGGGAGTCTCTTGATTCCTGTAGCGTTCCATGACCGTTGCAATCACTGACAAAAAGAGTAAAGTAGAAAAACAAAAGAATCTCTTAAAAGCATTTTATATAAACGAAAACAAAGTTAGTTCACTTGCAGGGCAATGGCGAGAGGAGTCGAGCAGCTTATCTTCTTAATATCACTGTTACTTACTCTTCTGGGTATGTCTTCTTCTTCTTCTTCTTCTTCTTCATTTCTTTGTACTAATCATTTTACCCTCTGTTTCTTTCAATGTCTGTTCTGAAAATTCTACCTTTTCTGGTTTTGAAGAGCCAATGTGTATGAAGTCTCTTTTTTTTATAATGTGGACTTGTTCATTTTTCTTACTGAAACGGTTTTTATATATATATGCTTTTATTTCAAAAAGAACAAAAAAAGAAAAATTGGGTGGGTGTCTGTTTGTTCAAGTAATGCCAATCAAAACTAGTGTTTATTAATTACCAGGAGCTGTATTTGCAACATTTTCAGCCTAGAAGACTAAATATTTTAGTGTGAATGTATTACTGATTCATTACTATTAGGCACTAGATATGATTACAGTCAATCCAATTTATTTATATCGTGAGATAGATTAGCTAACCATGTGAATGTGTAATTGATTAAATGAATTAGCTCATCGTTATGTGACTGACCATGTTTTAGTGTGTTAAGGCTCTCATCTTTGGGGTTCTTGTGTTATGTATAAACATGATTTCTCCATAAACTAAAAATGATCAACTCCTCAAATAAGCTACTGTTCTTCGTTCTTTTCTACAAATTAACTTCCTTTTAAGTGAAATGGACCAAGTTATAATGGAAGAATTTCAAAATATTTGTAGGTTCACCTTTGTAGCATATTATCCATTCAAGAGTAAATGGAGCTTGCTGAAGAATTGGTTGTAACAATGAGATGCCACTTTATATCTTTACATTTATTTCACCAGTCTACCTGCATTTAAGAGAAAGCTATAGTGGCTAACCAGATGTTGTACTTTACTTTCATGCATTGAAGAAGAAGAATCATTTGGAGATTTATTATTTAAGATTTTTCCTCTTGTCCATCTGTATCAAGATGGAGTTTTTTAGATTCCCTTATCTATTTTATGTAGCATTGTAAAGTATTAAATTCAGTATTACCTTCTTATAACCTATATTAAGGAACAATTTTTGTGATTGAGGATAAAGAATTAAAATTTTAAATTTACCGATGATGTTGTTCTCGAGCATTTTGAGGTGGATCCTAATGCTCTTTTGTTTAAGAAGTGGATTCCTCTTGTTGATCTCTCATTTGTCTTTCCTTCTATTCTCTTCCAACTCGTTCTACATTATATAGTCAAGTTTTAGTCATAATGGAGGCTTTGTCTATATCAAGTTCATCAAAGAACCTGAATCACATCAAAGATTTATGATGAAAACAACTAGTGATAGGATTCCCGATACTAACAAGTTTGTGATGAATGTATATGAGAGGACAAAATGTGAAAATATTACATCACCATTTTTATTTAAACAGTAGTTGATTCTTAAATTATTTTCCGAATTGATGTTGGAGATAACATATGAGGACAGTGTGTCTTCAGTGCATTTAGTTTCATTTCATCTTGGTGAGTATCAAATAAAAATATGCAACCCCTACAGGATTATCCATTCTAGCAATGATGTGAACCAAAGCATTCAGCATATTTAGATGCATGTCCCCATGAAGCAATAAGCATATTTTCCTGTCTTCCGTTCTTTTTTCCATCTCCAATTTCCCTACATTAAAGCCCCAGCATCTAGTCATTGTAGTGTTATGTTGATGAGAAGGGTAATCCATCGCAAGGTAAAAGTAGTTTGATCAATCACCTACAAGATGAAATCAACACAAGCAATTCTTTGCATTTGGCAATGTGTTTGAGACTGCTTCAGTAACTGCACTGACTCCTTAAAGCTCCCATTGATAGTTACAATAAATGATGTATGGTTGATTGTTTCAGTAGTTGTGAACATGTTATAGGAAAATATCCATAACTTAATACTATTTCTGACAATTTTGCTTTTATTTACATGTACGAGAACTTTCCAGCTTTGCTGTTCTAGCTTGCTGGTTGTACTCTCATTTCAAACACCTCCACAAACAAAACAAAAAAAATCATTTTATTTTGCAGTTTTGTGCAGAGGAAGCACAATTGGAGTTTGCTATGGAAGAAATGCTGATGACCTCCCAACTCCTGATAAGGTTGCTCAGTTGGTTCAACAACATAAAATTAAATACTTGAGGATTTATGACTCTAGTATCCAGGTTCTCAAGGCTTTTGCAAACACTGGAGTTGAACTTATGATTGGAATTACAAACTCCGACCTACTACCATTCTCTCAATTCCAATCCAATGTAGATACATGGTTGAAAAACAGTGTCCTTCCTTACTACCCGGCTGCAAGGATCACATACATAACTGTTGGTGCTGAAGTAACAGAAGGCCCTGGTAATGCCTCTGCCCTAGTTGTACCTGCCATGCACAATGTTCTCATGGCCCTAAAAAAAGTTGGTCTGCATAAAAAGATCAAAGTTTCGAGCACCCATTCTCTTGGGGTTTTGTCCCGTTCTTTCCCACCATCTGCAGGGGCTTTTAATAGCAGCCATGCATTTTTTCTGAAACCCATGCTGGAATTCCTCGCTGAAAACCAATCTCCTTTCATGATTGATATTTATCCTTACTATGCTTATAGAGATTCCCCAAATAATGTGTCTTTGGATTATGCTCTATTTGAGTCGTCTTCAGAAGTGATCGATCCAAACACGGGTTTGCTTTATACAAACATGTTTGATGCTCAGATTGATGCCATTTATTTTGCCCTGATGGCTCTGAATTTCAGAACAATTAAAGTAATGGTCACTGAGACAGGCTGGCCATCCAAAGGGTCATCAAAGGAGAAAGCTGCAACCCCTGATAATGCCCAGATTTACAACACCAATTTAATTCGTCATGTCATCAATAACTCTGGTACTCCTGCAAAGCTCGGGGAGGAACTAGATGTTTATATTTTCTCACTGTTCAATGAGAACAGGAAGCCTGGTATGGAATCTGAGAGGAACTGGGGATTATTTTATCCAGATCAAACAAGTGTCTATAGTCTGGATTTCTCTGGAAAAGGTGTCCTTGATGTGCCTGCAAACAAAAGTTTGACCAGTTTTAATGGCACAACTTGGTGCATTGCTTCAAATAATGCTTCCCAACTTGACTTGCAGAATGCCTTAGATTGGGCATGTGGCTCTGGCAATGTGGATTGCTCTGCTATTCAGCCTAGTCAACCATGTTTTGAGCCAGACACTCTTGTCTCCCATGCATCGTATGCGTTCAACAGTTACTACCAGCAAAATGGGGCTTCTGATGTTGCTTGCAGTTTTGGAGGTACAGGAGTTAAAGTCAACAAGGATCCAAGTAAGTATCTGACGTTCTCCATTTTGGTTCAAATCTCACTCCTTAGTTGGTTTTTCTTGTTTCACGTGCAGGAGTTCTATCCCTGTTTGCTTGGAAGTACTAGTGTTTCTCAGTTTGAAATAGTATGAATTGGCACTGCCAAATTACCCTTCCTTTTGCGGGATCTGATTTAGCAGGAGCATTAAAAAGCTTCTTCACAGTGCTCCAATATGGCTATCTTATTTATTTTTTGTTAGCCCAGTAAACCTCTACGTTTAACTCATAATTGTCTTTGGTTCGCAGAACTTATTAGTAAATTACATACCTGTGATTTATGTTTGACGGGTTGATATTTTCCCCTGATTGTAAAACATTTCTGCATCTGTATGCCTTTGTTGGATGGCTGATTAGACTTCGATGTTTATTTTATCATCTTTTACTCAAGAGTCTGGATGAACCTTGAAACACTCACTGAAAAACTGGCTGTCTATTTTGCAGGCTATGATAATTGCATGTATATGATCACTGGGTAAGTTTGACAACCATCGTTTTGATTTCAACATCACTCCTGTTGTTATAACGTGCCAAAATATTTTGAATTTATCACTCAGGAGCAACAAAACAGCAGCAAGTAACACAACAGCCATTGCCTCAACTTCCTCCTCCGCCCAGAATGAAGCCTGTGCATGGATTTCTAGTTTTCTTCTAATGACCTGCGTTGTGTATTTTTTATCTTTTGAACATTAGTAATGGACATGGAAGCAGGATCATGCAGGCACAGTGAAGTCGACCAGAAAACAATGGACCGTGTGGTGAGGCAAGAGGCATCGTTTTGAATTTTTTTTTTTTTTGGCTTGTGTATATCCTGAGAAAAAACGCATCTGTCAAGGAGCTATCCGCCATCCTAGTTTTGTATGATTTAGTACTTGTTTAGAGGAATGCAAGACTCATCCATCTTAATTGTTGTATGGTTTGTTCTCTTTTCATCTTGCAAGTTTGGATCAGTCTTCTTTTAACACTGCCTGTGTTTGTCAGATACCAGCTTTAGTATAACAGAACCTGCAAATGAAGCTCAAATGACGATAAAAGAACATGCAATTGGTTTCCTTTTTTATTCTAATTCCCATGGCTGCAGGAGTTCCAGCCATTTCTTATCGACCCTTTTCCCGGTCTGTAGAAATACGTTTTCTGTTAAAGTGGATGTGGTCTGGTTCTCAATGAACTTTCATACGGTTTGGACATGGACCCGATATTTGGTTGAAAACGAGCTGGAAGCTACATGAAAGGTGGCGAAAAGCTCATCAAAATAGCAGCGATACATGATTCGACTCCACATATCAGCTAGGATGATCAAAATCCATAAGTCTGTAAGGAATTGGGGTGTCAAAAAATGTGTATTTGTGCGCTTGCAGTCTCGGCTGGCATTATTGGCATCATACCGAAAGTTATTCGTGCACTCGACTGGCATTATTGGCACCAAACCGACATTTATTCGCACACTCGGCTGGCATTATTGGCATTAAGCCAACAATTATTCGTACAAACTAATAATCGAGCACCATTCACTCGTGATGATAATTTAATTCAAAGAAAAAATGGATGTTTTTTTTAATAATTAGCATAGTATAAATATTATCAAACCCAACCTGAAACATACAAATTTAAGTCAATATATGTCTATGTTATGTAAATATATTTGTAAATCATTTAAAAAATTTTAATATATATAACACACGTAGATATATACTATTCATCATTATTAATATGCATATACATACTTCAAATATTATACTAACTATTTTAATTTTTATTAAATAATAAATATTTATATAGATATTCAAAATCTGATAAATAATTTATAAATATCTAAATTTTTTATATAATAAATAAAGTATAAATATATTAAAAAAAAAATCCCAGTTTCGGCACAGCATTGTCTTCCCTAAACTCAGGTTCTCGGTAAGAGAATAATTGATGTCCACTAACAGCAGGATCTCGTCGACATGCAAGAGAGATGTGTATAAATGTAAATTTCTATAGGTAACTTATGAAATTTTGGGTGTGGCTCGCTGATTCATGAATTAAAACATTCAATATATTCCAAGACAGAATAACTTGGTACAACATGACATTACACGAGAAATATCTTCAGAGAGTAACTATCTTGGGTAATTCACAGGAGGTTCCAAGCTACCAACCAAAATTTCCAGATCAATGTCTTTGTCTTCGAACTTTTTGATGAAAGGGTGACTCTGGAAGCATAAAAGGAACAACAATCAAGATTCTGCTTCTTTTCCTTATTGGTGAAAAGTGCTAAAACATGAATTTCCAAATAGAGGAAATAATATACTAAGTTACTAACCAATAGGTCCAAAGATGACAACCTTCCCTGAGGATCCTTTTGTATACTGCAAATACCATAAAAGACACGATCAGGAACATTAACAGTAAGTGCACTTCGAGATTTACAAATAAAAGATTTTACGAAAAAGAAAATGTTAAATGTTCTTATGTATGTGAAGCCGATTGGTACGGTCTATTTTAGACCTTGGAACCGTGATATCTACTAGTTCAACCACATGAGCCATCCACAGTCCATGTAAAATAATGAACTTCAAAAGCAGAATTATAGAAGCAGATAGAATCCAGAAGCCACATAAAAGGAACAATAGATAAAATATATAAGACAGAGTCACGGCATGCGCTCATAGATTATTAAACTGTGAAATGAATTTATACAAGCTGTTACCAGGCTGATACAAATGAACAGAACTCAGGAGAGAACTGATCTGCTGGGGCAGATGGCGGTGGGCTGTGCACGATGGCTTCTAAAAGCTCGTAAAAGCTTGGCCAGCCTTGTTGATCTTCGGATTGCATGTAAGGAAAATGTCCAATTGCACACTCAAGTACTACCAAGCCTAAACTCCAAATATCACTGCTATAGTCATAGGCCCTCCCGCTGATTCTCTCAGGCTATCAAACAACAAAAGCAGAGCAAAGACTAGTGATATACAAATTACATCTCGAATCAGTGGTGTGCAGAAAAAATATGAAAGATATAGAAACCAATACAGGTGATTAAATGAAAATAACAATAAGATAGTATACTGATCAACATAACTACCAAAAAAAGAAACTTAGTGATATGAAGCAACAGAAAATTAAAACCTATACATACCGACATGTAATTATAAGTACCAACAAAAGTATCCCTTTGGCCCATAGAGCTAGCTAGCATTGCACTCACACCAAAATCAGTTATCTTCACTTCCCCCTTCTGGTTTACCAACAGATTGGATGGTTTAATGTCTCTGTGTATGACATGCCGCTCATGGTGCAGGTAAACAAGACCCTGCAAAACCTGAAATGCATACATAAATGTTGAGCCAGGGGAAAAAGAGAACATGAAACAAGCGCAAGGACTTTTATTTCGTGCTCAAATCTCTAAATTCCAAGAAAGAAGAATCAAACCTGCTTACAAACGACAGCCAGATAAGGTTCAAGAATTGTTTTAACTTGTCTGATCACATCTGCCAGCGACCCACGATCCATGTATTCTAATACAAGAGAAATGGCCCCATTGTGATAGAAGGAGTGGTAGCAAACAACAACATGTGAACACTGTGAAGCTTGGTTTATCTTCAGCTCCTGAACAATTTGTTTACGAATATCTTCTTGTATATTCATCTGGATCACCTGTGAAGACAGATTAGAGTTGTCGTTGATTTACTTTTTTAAGGAAAAAATAAAAAGGAGCTGTGAAGACACAGAGATTTATGTGAAATGAAAAAACTGAACGCCCATGATTTCAAATGTGGAGAAAAGGTAAAAATAAAAAATAAAAAAGATTGCTGGGGGGGACAATGACCTTCAAGGCAAACAGTGAGCCAGCCCATTTATGGCGAACCAGTTGCACAACACCTCCACTCCCTTTACCAATTACTTTGATGGTCTCAAGGTCTTCCAATGAGAAATCAAATTCAACTTCTTTGCTGTCGAAAGGCTGCACAAATAGATGATTAATTTAAAAAAAAATTAAGAAAAGATTAAATGACAGATCAAATCAAGTGGAGTAAACAATTAATTAAGAACTTACAACACGGGATTCCTTTATGTTTTCTTCAGAGATAAGCCGCAAACCTTTCTGATTTAATAGCAAATCTCCGTCATGAAATGTACCACTTGCGGTCCTGATATTTTAAATTTAATTTAAAAATATCGAAATTAATACTATATTTATCATCAACAACAAAAAGAAAAAGAACGTTGAAATTGACTCTTACAAGAAGGAAGCGATTGATGTTTCTTGAGCTGGTACGGTCAGCTTGAGTTGCTGCAGTGGCTTCTTGCTCTTCATCTTCGAACTTAGGGTTTTCTTTCTTAGTTTTTTTATTTTCAAAAGAGCGCTCCTCACCCTAATTGTGTAGTTGTTAGGAGACTACACAATAGCAGGAGTATGTATCTATCAAATTCAAACAAACGGAAGACCGCGCACTGAAATTCGAAATTAGCTTCAAATACGTGGCTATTGCTGGAAATTAATTATTATTATCATTAATTTTTCAAACTTTTAAATTTTAACTTCCACTTACTTCTTTCAATATTTTATTAATTTTAAATTAATTATTTCAATTTTTTTATAAAATTATCATATTCTCAAATATATATCTTAGCATTTAATTGATTTAATTTTTACAAATATCTATTTTTTATATCGTATCATTAAATAAAAATCAATTAAAAAATAAGATTTTAAACTCAGCAAAGTCCATAATCTGGACCACTAGTTTTGCAAGTTCAGTTGCAAAACTCAGACCGATTAATTATCTATTTATCTCAATATTAAAAAAAAATATGTCATTTTAAAAAAAAAAGATAAAGTTGAATTATATTTTTACTAGTCATCTGATTTACCTTTGAACCTGCAAAGACTACTGAATTACGTAGAGTCAACTCTCATATGAGTTAATTCTAAATCTGAGTTAGGCAAAAAGTTGGGTCTGGAAGTTTGAAATATCAAATAGTTTTTTTAAAAAAAAAAAATTCCATCTTCTAAGTTTTATTCTTTTGATTGAATTCTTTTTGGTTTTTTATTAATTTCATCCTTCAATATTTAATTAGTTTTGAATTGGTCTTCATTTTTTTTTCAGTTTCTTTTTTTAAATTTATTGCAGTTTTAAGCAAATATCTTGATATTTGATTAGTGCTTAATTATATAGATGTATATTTTTATCATCATATCGTTAAGCCAAAAATAGTTTTTTTTTTAAAAAAAGAAAGTTGTTAGACTCAATGAGTTCATGATCTTAGTCACGAGCTTGGTAAGTTAAGTCGTGAAACTTAAATCGATCTAATATGTTATTGTCTCAATAATAATAATGATAAAAAAAGATTTCATCTTAAATTTTTTTAAGTCAAACCATACTTTTTATTAGTTATTTGTTTTTTTTTTTACCCGTCGAGCTGACTAGGTCCTGTTAAAGTAACTCTCAAAAGGTTAATTCTAAACTAGGACTATGAAATGAGTTAGGTGGAGAGAATTAAAGGTTGAACCATTATATTAGATTTAATAATAATGACAAATAGTTTATTGGGATCTAAATATTTTTTTAAGGTTCAAATTGTTTTTTATCCAACTTGCAACATTAAGTGGGCCAGGAAACAAGTTGAACTCTAAATGAGTTAAAACTTAACTTGATTTATAAATTGAAGTTGAGCTTGAGATTAAATAAACTTAACTCACTAAGGTTTATAAAGCAATTTAATTAAGAATGTTATTTTGTTGTAAATTAATCATAATTAATATTAAACCTATGATGAAGCACTAGCAACCCCATTTCTCAACAAACTTGTGAGCCCTCATTAGCACTAGTCGTGACCCTTCACTAGTAGCTTTTGATCATCATTGTCAGCCACAATAGCACAACAACTTCCTCTTGTTTTTTTTTTTTTGTGGTAGCACCATCAGCCTCCCTCCACTCACAACAACCGTTGTTTACAACAAATAAAAAGGAGGAGATTTGATGATAAAAGAACAAAAGTTATTTAAGTAAAAATAAAAGCGACTATTTGTGGTTTTTCTTTGTTTTATAGGTCGCAGTACCCCTCATCGTTAGTACAGAGATGAAGAAGAATAGAAGATCTACCTGATCCACCCATTTTAGGTCCTCCCCAATGACGGCATGTGAACCCACACGACACGGTTGGTAACGATGTGGAAATCCATATGCTGTCACTATTCCAGCAGTCCTAAAATCTTCTAATATGCTTCTTAAGTTCCCATTAATTTCTTTAACTTGTTTGCAACCTTTGAAATGATCATTTTACAGGTTTTTGAATTTTTATTATGTGTTTAAATTATTGTTAAATTTTGAATTTTTGTGGTTTACAAACATGTACTTGTGGGGTGTGTAAGTAAAATATATTAAAAAGAGAAGGTGTGTGAAAGTTATATTTTCCTTTTATTTTGCATTAAGTAGATGGTAAAAAAAAAAGAGGGAAAAGATAAAAAAAAGTTTTAATTAACGCAAATGTTTTAATTGCATACACCAAATTCTAAAACAATTGCATGCATTCTTTCTAAAAAACAAATGCATTTTTATCATGTTTTAAAAATAAAAAATAGATATTATAACCAATTTATGATCATTTATTAGGATTTAATCAAAATTTTAAAAATACCACAAAAATTAGTTTTTTTAGTTAATATTTGGGGTATCAATTTTGCAACGTAACGTATACTCATGATATTAAATTAAATAAATTAATAATAATAAATGTTAGGAATTAGATATATCTAGCAAATAATTATAATGCTAAAAATTAGGTCTTAGAACAATTATGATTTAACCTGATAAGGTAAAAACTTCCGTACGAATAGAGATTTGTCTTAAATCATTAGATGAGACTAACAAATAAAATTATATCTTAGATTAACAATCAATCAATCATGCAAATTATCATAGATAAGATGTATCGAGGATGATGCGTCTTTTCTTTGCACAAATAGTCCTTTTACCCAGATGGCACGACTAAAAGATTGATGTCTTCTTCCAAGTGCAGGAGTGTCTAAGTAATAAATAACCCGGTGACACGACGAAAAGATTGTTGTCTTCTCCCAAGTGCAGGAGTGTCGAAGTAATAAATAACCCGGCAAGACCGGGGTCGAACCACAAGGAGATTAATTATATAAATTATAGATGACAATAATATAACAACAATAATAATAGTAACAATAACAATAACAACAATAATAATAATATCAATAATAATAATAATAATAATAATA